CCCCCAAGCCAGTCACCACCAGGGAATGGGGAGCTGAGGGTCTCAACAGAGCAGCTGCAGTGGAGTCTGGAGCCCTGCAGGCACCATAGAGGTCCCAGGCACTGCCCAGTTTGGGCAGAATGGGGCCCACAGCCACCAGAGCTACCACACTCTGCCTCCTCAGCCACCTGCACCTGCCCTCTCCCAAGAGGAGAAAACTGGCATTGACAAAAGTGAGGAGCAACCTTGGATCTCGGCCAGCAGCACACAGGCCCACCACCTTCTATAAATATGTAAGTGGTGAATATCAGGAGCTGGGAGAGAAACTGTTCACTAGGGCGTTCCAGGGGAAGACAAAGAGCAATGGCCATAAAGTGTTGCAGGAGCGGGCAATTAATTCAAGCGGAGGGCTGCTTACTGAGTGTTGACAAGCCATTGGGGACCGCATGACAGGCAGCCAGGGGCAGCTAAATATTAATTTTCTAAACTTTTTAGGGGCCCCGTGGGCTGGATAGAATGGCCTGGCAGGCCACGTCTGGCCCACGGGCCGCATTTTGCCCATCCCTGTGTTAAAGGATGATTTCAGGTTGGATGTAGAGAAGAACATCTTTACAGTAAGGGTGACCACAATTAGAATAAACTTCCCAAGGAGGTGGTGCAGTCCCCAGCCTTGGAAGTCCTCAAAAGGAGACTGGACCAGCACCTTGCTGGGATCATTTGAGCTCAGCCGTATTCCTGCCCAGAGCAGAGGGGTTGGACTCGATGATCTTTCAAGGTCTGTTCCAGCCCTTAATTTCTATGACTTCTATGACCCTGGGTGGCCTCCCTGCTGCCCTGGAAGGGGCTGAGTGGCTTTGACAAATGGCAGGTGGAGGAGCTGGGCTGAGCACTAAGGACTATGAGGTGGTGGGGGAGGGCGAACCTGGAACAGAGCCAGCCCTCCAAGGGGCACCTTGGCCGTGCAAAACTAGGGCTGCTCTCCTGTGCTGTGCTGTGCTGTGGTGAAGGAACATTTGTCTCTGCAGCCCTGGATCCTGCTGGCAAAGGGCTGATGCGGGGGCTGCACCTACAGAAGCAGTAGCAGAGAAGGGCGAGTGGGGGGGAGGCAGCTGGCCTGGTCAGGGCACTAGGGCAAGGGACGCTGTGGTGAACAGAGAAGAGAAGGTATTGCAGCAGAGCGCTCTGCAGGGAGGGGCAGGGCACTGGGACAGCCACTTCCACACCACCTCCAGCAAAGGTCTTAGGATGGGGCTAGGGTCTGCCCCCCATAGGGCTCAGTGCACGCACGGGAACTCCCCAGCCTGCAGTCTGAACCAGCTTTTCCCAGCTCCAACAGGGGAGGAGCCCTGCTCAGACCATGAGATGTCCCCCCCCAGGCATCAGGTCACCACCCCACAAGTACACGCATGTACCCACAGTGCACACACACAGACCATGATGGGAGTAGCCACCCGCATTGTGCACATGTGTTTGCTGCAGGCAACCCCCCAATATGTTGGTACAAATGGGAAGAGCCCAAACTTTCCTTCCTGAGACTGCAACTCCCTCTCCAGCTGGATGTCTGAAGATCTTCCCTGGATCCAACACGGCCACAAGCAGAAGGTGGAGGGGCACACAATAACGTGAACCCGATGGACTGGTGCTCCCTGCCTGCCCCAAGTCCTGGGCTACTCCGAAGCGGGGACCTCCAGAGGGGCCTTCCAACTGAAGTCCATCAGAAACCCTTGGTGCTTCCCGTGTTCTCCTCTTCTGCACCCAGCTGGCAATTCACTCCCATCCTGAATGCCGGCGGCCAGTAGAATAAATATTTCTGTAGGTACCAGCTCTCCAAGAAAGGGGCATGGGGCAGGGGGGTGGGGGGATTCAGCACGTGTCCGACAGGGGAGA